CCTTTAATAATGTTTTTCTATTATTGAATTAGCAGACTTTCACGCTTCAATACAAAGCTTTTTTCTTGAATAATGTGTATAATAAGGAAGTTTAGGGTGTGCGCGGTTGGATCGCACTCCAAGCGTTGTAATGTGAACTTGACAAATTTGAGGCAAACTTTTTTGTTTGAAACTATGTATCAGACCCGTCGGCTTTCAGTAGCTCTCGCACGCTCCAGTATCGGGTAATGGCTTATCCCCCGCCGCGAGGGTTAGGGCACTGTACGGCATCAGACGTTACTGGCAAATACTGCAAAAAGCATGAAAAGCGCAGTAAGTGTGAGCTTAAACTTAGAAGCGACATACAAAATGTACTAAATTGCCCTATTCACAAAAAACTATAAACGCAATATCACGGGTCGCACTTTGAAAGGACTGCTATTCTGTGAGCATCAGTAAGGGTACACAATGTTTTAAACGTATTTGTGTCAGCTTTATCTTGAACAGATCAATAGAAATAAGAATCACTAAAGAGCTTTCCTCTCAATGTCACCTGCCTTGATCTTGCTTCTCTCTCACTCCCTCATTCCGTCCCCCTCTCTATCAGTCTATCTCTACGAGTGTGTTCTGTTTTCATTTTCTTTAAATCCTTCCGTGCCCTTAAAATGTTACACGCAAACCATTTTATCAAATTGGTGGAGAAGGGATTTAGCCAGTTTCACTCCCTCTCACCTGATGAAAACACTCACGTGATAGATACAGATTTACACACCTAACTCCATCCGGGCTTTAACATTTTCCGGGGTAGACTTAATTTGGGAGAGAGAGGGAGAGATGAAAAGGGATATTGAGGGGATTAGTCGTGGCTTTGGCCTTCACGTCGCCTGCAGCAGATGCACCAATAGTCATTTACACCGAGGGGGTTGTCGCTGCTAATAAGGTCCTCTCCCAGCCTGACATAAAATGAGTCTTCAATCTCAACAACACACCATGAAACATGACAGAATCCCTCTAGATTTCACCCCCTGTCCCTCAAAATGTAGGACGGAGAGAGGGAGAGGGGGAGAAAGAAACAAAGAAAGTAGTAAGGACGAAATAGAAAAAGGTTGAGAGTGGAAAGGACGCGAGAAAGACGAAGTCATATTTACTTTTAGACAGACAGATAGAATGAATAAGGTAATTAGACAATTTCAACTGCGTACCATTATACGACACAATTCGCTCCTTGCCTTCAATCTCTCAAGAGAGAGAGAGGGGGGGGGGCGGAGAAACGAAGAGAGAGGAGAAGAGGTAGGGTGAGGGTGACATAAATGTAATAGGATGAAAAAGAACAAGATAGAGAGTTAGAAAACCGATAAAAGGGGGACGAGTCTTATACATTAATTTTGAACAATACGCCATGGGACTAGACACAATCCCTTTATTTTTTCCCATGCTAGTCCTTCGCAATGTATAAGCAATGGGAAACAAGAGAATTGAAACACAAATCAAGAGAAATATATAAGGGAGAAAGAATGGAGAGGATAGTGAGACAGAAGAAGACAATTGAATGGATAGAGAGAAAGAGGGAGATTGAGAGGGAGGGAGAATGAAATAAGGTAACAACATTTTGCTCAGCAAGGAAGCGCGCTTGAAATGAGTGACAACAGCAGACCGTGGCGCGAATGAGATGCCACAAGATCCCGCGTCAAGCGTTATATCCCACGGTTGATAAATCAACGTACCTGTTGTACGATCTAGAACAAATACAATTTCATTTTTCTTTCTTTCTATCTTGTTATCCTCTCCCTCTCAAAATTGCGAACGTTTTTTTCGTCCACATTACGGTGTTGGAATGAAGAAGGAAAGAGTAGATTAGAACAGGTGTGAGGGTGATGATAATAACATGACAAGCTTTACTAGTGGGGTTTAGCGAGATGGGTAAAGATCATGTGAAGACCAATCATTTATCATAATTGAGCACAATACCCAATTGTTTTGATGATACCTGAGAGCTGTGAACACATACATACAAAGATAGAATCCCATATCATTTATAACGGGTTATCTGTAGGACCCTCTTGTGTTGTCGAGTGTATCTTTCACCAATATGAGTATTTAAACGAAGACTTAATTAATGTTTAAACAAGTAAATTTGACAAAAGGCATTATTATGTTTGAATACCATTCCGATAATGACATAACAGACGCATTTTTAAAGTGAAACAGCAAAATATTATTAGAGGGGAAATCGGAAGGGCGTATACTCTGTCATAAATTGATTGTGCTTGGTATAACAAAATCTTGTTCAGATTTAGGCCTATCTTCTTTCCAAAACCCTAATGACAAACGGAGAGAAACAGAGAAGGGAAAAAATAAATGTTTCCCAAGCAAGTGTTACTAAATATTCTCAATGTTTCATGCTACAATTAAATCATTTGGTTCATAAGTAAATACAGAAAAGCGATTTTTTTTTTTTTTTTTAATCAACGTTCTTACATACAAAAAAAAACATTGAACTGTAAACCAATCGGGCTAGAATAAACATGATGATTAAGTTCATACACGCGAACGCCCAAACTCATTAACACATGCACACAAATCAATTGTACATAATAAATAACGGAACCCTACTCTTGCAACTTATAAATTATGATAACATTGACTCAATTTTATTACTCTTGAACGGGTTTTCACATCATTAAGCTTTCAGAGGATAACGAGATGCATTAGTGTGTATATCAATCAATCAAGCCATTAAAGTTTGCAACTGTAGACAGGAGTAAAACAAATAATAAATTTAGAATGTCAAACTCACTTTGTAATGCGTCTCTTTTGAATACTAGCACGGCCACTTTCAAAATGAAATGTCTTTAATTTCCCCTCGACTTTGCCATGTTTAACCATCATTAAATGAAATGTATTTATACAAACAGGTATTACATTATTGGTTAGACTTGGTAACATGCTTTATTCGCTTGCTTGGCGTAATTTGTATTTCAAACATGTATGCATAATTGTATACAGACGTAATAAAAGCCACTTAAACCGTTTAAGAAAAATATGACATAACAAAAATAGTTTACCGTAATGACTTCAGAATTAATAAGTATTTTCAAGATAGTTATTGAAATGATTTGTATCATTTGGATTATTTTGTTCGTTGTTGATAAATGCTACTATATATAACATCGTCAGTTTGGAACAAGAAGGATGTTAACTCGTGCACACTTCTATCGAATACACGATATAAACTGAAAAAACAATTTTCAAATAACGGATTGAAGGTGATAAGTGGTAGGTAAAGGTAACAAAGAATGAGAATGTGTATACCTTTGTCTATTTTCATATTATTTTATATTTTCTACTGAAAATGCCTGATACTTTATACAGATAGTAACAACGATGCATGCAGTCTGACCAATTATAGAACGTATTCGTGACGAAAAGAATCTAAGTTAAGTCTCATTTTGAAGTTCAAAAGGTTACGAATCTGATGTGACGCCATGCACGTACATTTCGCGTGCTTTCACAAGAGAATGACGAAAATATAGAACATTTCTTAATATTTCTGCTTAATAATGACAGCGATCTGCCAGAAGTGTATTAAGTGTAATATATTGTTTTCCGTAGCATTGCTTAATTATGAATTATCTATCAGACTTAAACCTTATAGCATTGAAACATCAATGCAATTAATACAGATTCACCAACGCTCGAATATTTGACACTTCGTATAACGTCTACATAATCTCTGTAGAATATGCGAATTAATATGTGAGAGTGGGGGTCAGTAGTTCATAATGATCTATAATTATCATGAGTATATGTTTCATATTAATTCAGGTAAGACGAGAGAGGAGGAGGGGGAGAAATTTGTGAAGATTCAACCAGAAATTGGGAAGGAAGATTCGAAAATTTCGACCACATTGAAAGGAAAGGATGCGGTGAGGTGGGATTATTAAATTAGGTCGTTGGTTGTTGCGAAAATCACGCGCAAAGATGTGACAAGTATAAGACGACCAGACAAATTACCGGAAGAATCCGTCTTCCCGGTTACCATGGTAACATATGTTTCTCATCTTCTTTGATATCATATTCACTTTCTTCAGTTCCCACAGATAAAAGATTTAGTTTTGTTAGTCAAATTTTGTTTAAGAGTGTCATAAAGTATTAAGAGGGGGTTTTAAAGAGAAAAAACTACAAGGTATGACGTAGAATAAGTTTCAATCAGATGTCATTAACTTCTCCCTTAATATCATAAAAGTTATGTAAACATCGGGATAAATATTGACTAATTATCGGAGGTTTAACAATACATGCTTGAATAAGTATTACGTTGAATCGGTCCACGAATTTGCCATCTATTATCAAATACATAATATACATTCATTACATTTGTCGTTTTCAATAGTTTGGTTATTTGGGTCACACAATTTATTGTGTTATGCTTTCTTTAAGTTATTATATTATTTCATTATTTTCACTACTAATTGTGTTCTTTTCGACATTATTTTATTAAGCGCCAAAGAACTCGGACATGTTGTATTTGTGTGTTTGTTTGTTTCATTAAACATGTATTTGGTTTATCTACTAAGAAATATTCATGTGCTGTATTGTTAAAATTCGATTTGCGGCTGCAAAGTTGCTTTATTTTATAAAGCTTTAATTTATTGAAACACTTAAGATGTTGACTTCAGATTATAAACCTTGACAATTATCACGTTGACGAGATTAAAAGATTTATTCAATAACAATCTAAACAACTACACAAAGATAACTCGTGGAAAGGCATAAAGGAGTTTTAATTTGTGACGTTAATCAACCAACTTACTATTTGTTTAAATACAGAGAGAATAACCTTGAAAATGATATCGGCTATATACCATGCAGGCTATCGCATTATAGTTGGTGTGATATTAAAACGTTTGCCTTTAGTTTTGCTATCAAAAGAGTGCACATTGCTCAATAAAATTGACAATATTGGGTGACACTGAAAAAATCTTAAGAATAAGTAAAACGTTTTAGAAATGTTTTCTCACCTGATGACGGCCTGTCCGAGTAGCGTGTACAGTAAACCCATGCTGGCCATGATTGCGACGACGAGGATTTCGTTGAGGCTTTTTCCCCCGCGCCCACCGGGCGGGCCTCATCGCACCGCTTGGCGACATTCGTTCTGTCCTGTCTCTCGACCTCGTGTTCATCCTCCTTACGATGGTGCGCCTTACTCGGCTTTCTCGATCCGCCGAACTCGGGTCCGAGGATGGTTTCGATGAAGAAGTCCGTGAAGCGTGTCTTGACAGCGAGGTCATTGTCAGAGTGGGACCGAGGGACATGGAGAGGGTGATGGTGTGGTGTCGGTGATCGCGGCTCGCGGCCGCCTAGAGATAGGGCTGACATGGTATCGACCACCCGCCTGCAGCTCCCGCTGTTATCCGTGCAGACAAGAAAACCTATGGCGAAGAAATCTCCTTTTGAAAGATGCCTTGTAACGACCTTCCTGGATACCTCTGTTGTACTTCACAGTGGTAGATATTGAGGCAAAGTGTTTTAATATATGTTTATTTAGGATATTCCAAATATCTGATTGAAGAAAATACGTTGTCAGCCGATGTCACTCGAGGATAGAAGAGAGAAATAAGGAGTCAAGAAACTTTGAGACACAACGCATGCATTGTGAGCAATTGTCACAGAGAGAGATGTTAGAATAGAAGCAAACGAAACTAAAACGTGAGTTTCAACTTTCTCGACAGGTCTATTTGTTTTCAATATCGGGCCCCAAATAGTGTGCTCCAGGAGTGAGGGAGTGGGGGCAAAACAAAAATGCGAAAGTTTGTATGGATTGTAGCGCCGCCCGCAAATGGACAAATCACCTTGCTCGTTAAAAGAGATCGCCACTCAATTTCTTCATCTGCTTCACACAATACACCGTAGGAGTCTATCACCCGCCGGCCAATGGGAGGCCATGGTTGGAGTGACGTCACCTCCATTTCCGCGGTATGGGAGAGAGGGTGAGAGAGAGGAGGGGAGAGAGAGGGAGAGGGTGAGGGGGTGGGGAGGGTGAAAATACAAATCAGATTGCACACACCTGACGGGAAAGAGTCGGGGTAGAAGTCATAATACTCCCGAGAGGGAGCGGGAGAAATCGAAGAGTTACAAATCAACAAATTATTGCTTTCAACTCAACATATTCATCTTCATTTTGTTAGCTGCCTCTTGGCTCGTTGTCGAGTCGAAGAAGTTTTTTTGGTCAAGGCCAGACTTAGGTGCGCGAGACACAATGGGGACGAGACATCAATGAGCTTTGGGTATGGACTGTTGTGACACTTTGGAGCTAGGGTTAGTAAACAATACATCCTCTCTCATCGCGACCAACTTATGAAAGATAAAAAAGCTAAATGAAATCAAAATACTTAACTATCGTGCAGTAAATCAAAATCTCGACAAGGAAAAAAAGACAAAACCAAATGATTTCATCGCAGTTGTTATTTATTTTATTATCTAGATAATGATGTCAGTGCATAAGGTTATTTTATTGCTCGCAACTTTTTTTCACCAATTCAGAATTCAAATAGAATGTCAGTATATTCGTTGTTATTAAATGTCTATTTCAACATGAATGTAAAATATTTAAACTGCTGCGTTATTCGAAATTTAAAAATAAAAATGATTACTCTAAAGTAAAATAATTACAGTGATTGAAAGAAAATGAGTGAATATAAGGCAGGAGGGGGGCGTTTGGTGGCTAGAGAACTATGATAATTTCACAAGTGCCAATATTCCGTCACATCGTTATTAGCGCAGAGAGGTTGCCTTTTTAAAGTTTTCAAATCAAGTCTAGAGTATGATTCAATTTTTAAATTACCATCAAAGGTTATATAAAGATGGACAATGCATCAAAATGTGAGAATTTGTGCTCATTCGCTTTGCATTTCCGACAAACAAACAAAATTCAAATGGAAAAAGGATTGCTATTATGTGTGCAAAATTCGACAGTCTCCCTTGCGTACACCTTTAAATATATTATATATGATAAGAAATACAATGTATTTGAGTTTTAAGTTTAATGCGATGTATACAGAATTTGTGTACGTTTTATGTATAATCAAAGATATTTAACAGACTGTAATAATCAGAAACATGATAAGATGGGAATAATACGCAGAAACTGCAAAATTTTAGTTTTAAGAATAACGGACAATCATCAAATACTGCAGGTGCATTTGAATTGCAACCTTGACTTACAACAATATTTATGTATTGTAGCATTTTTTCAGCATGTGATTGAGCATACAAAAATTATTTCTAGCTTGAATACGTAGAAAGATTATGGTGTTCAGTAAAAAATTAAAAAAAAGACAATTTCAATCAATGTGAACATACATGTATTCTAAAGTCACACAAAGTAGTACAAACTGCTTATCTCTTTCATGATTGCACATTGTTTGTCAAATTTAACAAAAATAATATAATTAGGAAAGGGTCTAAATGGAAGTAGTCTCGGGTTGTTGCATTTACAGAAGAAAATAATGATGAGAGTAGGTCCATTTTTATCATCATTATTATCACCACCATTATCACTACTATCATCAGCAGTAGTAGTAGTAGTAGTAGTAGTAGTAGTAGTAGTCATAGTAGTAGAAGAAGTAGTAGTAGTAATAGTAGTAGTAGTAGTAGTCATGGTAGTAGAAGAAGTAGTAGTAGTAGTAGTAGTAGTAGTAGTAGTAGTAGTAGTATAGTAGTAGTACTAGTAGCAGTAGTGGTAGAAGTAGTGGGAGTGGTAGTAGTAGTAGTAGTAGTAGTAGTAGTAGTAGTAGTAGTAGCAGTAATAGTAGTAGTAGTAATCGTAGTAGTTTAGTAAAAGTAGGATCCGTTTTAGCAGCAGCAGTTTTTGTGAAGATAATTATAGAATATTAACAAATTAATTCATATCATCCATAGAGGCCGAAAAGTATACTAGGCAAAAAAGTGCCATGAGGGCAATTATGTATCCACACAACTTTGGACACTTCTTTTTAATTACCCAAGTTTGGTAAAAAAAAAAAAAAATCCCATTTTGAAGTAATTGTCCTGTACTTTGACCGCAATTGGACAATATATTAATCAAGTTGGGTAAAGAAAATGCCCAAATCTGGTTGGATACATAATATTAATCTCATGTGGGAAATTTGTTATACCCACTACTTTTTTAATAGGCCAACAACAATGAAGAGTATATGAGAAGTAGAAAAAAAGCAAAATAAAAGCCATTTAAGGCAGAAGAAGATGTTACAATAAAAAAAAATAAAGTTGCATTCAAGATCTAAAAGAAAGTGATGAAGTAGCCGTACTATTGTGTTTGACATGGTTGGGGAGTATACCTGCGACATGACCTTAATTGTTAACATGACATTTTCTTGCCATATGCACGCTTAAACCTACGAAAGGTAAATTCTATACAACAAAAAGGAGGTGAATTATGGAATAATATTGAAAAGTCAGTTAAAAATGTGACCACTCTAAGTTCTTTCAAATCGAAATTCAAGTTGCGTCTTCTTGCCACATGACTTCCCTGATGCATAAAGTTACCCGATAAATTATGTCGTTCTGTATTATAATTGTGTTTTAGTTTGTAATGTCTTGTTTACGTCTTGCATTTTGTTATATTGTATATTTTAATGTTTTGTATTTTCCACATTTGTCATTTATGTTATGGGTCCACCCACTTCTCTCAAGCCATCGGCTTTATCTGGTTCTAATGGTCCACCCACTTCTCTCAAGCCATCGGCTTTATCTGGTTCTAATGATCCAGTACATTTTTTTTTAATGAAATAATAAATTGAATTAAATGGAATTGATGATACCTTTCCTTCTCAATGACTACTATTCTCAATTTGTTTCTTTCTCTCTTTCTCTCTCTCTCTCTCTTCTAAATGTCATTTAGCTTTAACTATGACACCTTTGATATTGAATTGATTATAATGTGTGAATATGCTCCAATTTATGTCATCGAGTGAACTTGCAAGAAGCCATGCAATCATGTGCTAAAACGTAACTTGCTGTTAGTGCTGTTCTAGTAGGCTATGGTCAATGAACTTTACTTCTTTCTATAAATGATCTTTCCTGTTTCCGTCGATGGTGTCGAATATATTTCTTGGCCATCGCACATAGCGTATGATCCCCCACCCAACCAAGCACCTCCAACTATCTCCTTGCACGCTAGAATGGCGAACCCCCTCCATATCTACAAGGTGCTGTCGTCAAGAGTTCAGATCTACGTTTCCCCCGATGACTTGTCTCCCAGTTCCACTTTGGTTGTCTCGGCATTCGGTTACAGTTTATCGAGGCCTGACAGTTGTCGGTGTAGGCCAAACTCGGTGAGTTTTCGAGCTCAACCTTTACTCTATTTGTAAACTTGTTGCGAAACCGTCATGCAAGCCACAAAAGTAAATCGTGTCTTTTTGTCCATGAAACCGCATGACGAGTATTGGCGCAACGTTGGCGCGCGTGCCATGCCATAGGTCACACATTTCACCATCTCTCTTTTTAGATAGATTTACTTATACTGCCGTCTTCGCTTATAGAGAGATTATTTTTGAGTATTTCCTTTATGAGTAAGCGAACAAAGTCTGTGATGTCTTTAGGGGTAGAAAATGCCGCCCCCGACGACTTCTGCTGGAGGCCAAAAGCGATCAGCTACGGTCGGTTGAGCTTCATTTCGGCTAGGCAGGAGAGCGTTGAATTGGAAACGTCCCGCCAGCTCACTGGCTTCCGCAAATACGTGCAACACGATACGACGCCGCGGTCTCTACTCTCTCACCGGCCGACTGAGGGGTTGAATGCTGAGACGGCTCCCCTCTACATCTCCATAAGCATTGCATAGACGGTCTCCTTATAGTGCTCCCTCCGGTGATGGTCGCTTCACGTCTGTTCTCCTCCTTGACCCAGCATGCTTTATTCAGTCCCATCAATTTAGACATTTGTAGCGTCCTATAGAGCGAGTTTTCTTGTATTATAGATTGAACTCGAGAGACCCAGCACTTCTCCATTACCTAATGCCATCACTTATATATTTTGTTGAAATGGGTTCGTTTGATGGTTTTGAAAATTAACGTATAATAGTGATTGTTTTAGCACTCCATGTGATAATTCAATAAAGTCTTATTTCATTAACTTGAATAGTGAATGCTTGTAACCTACACCTTGTATTAGGATAGATTACTTTGAAATGCCCTCAAGTTAAATATTGAATCTAATAATGTTTAAAAACTATTTACGTAGTTTTTATAAAGAATATTTACAAAGTTATATACGTCTATATTTTCCGAGTCAAGGGGCCATTAATCCACTGTTATTATTTGATGCCCATTAATTCTTATTACGTAACCGACGTATTTTGTTCAACCTCGTCTGTTACTCCC